TACAAGTAACCAGATATTTATAGGAAGGAGTAACAAGAACATGTCAAAGAAAGAAAGGCAAGGTATTTTGTGGTAAAAACAGGAAAACAGACTAACTTCCTGCTAAAATGTTATGTGCCTACTGTTTTAAAACTCAATATCTATGGGCCTGCCCAGTAGCTCAGCAGACTAAAGCGCCTACTTAGGCAGAGCGCAGTGGCTGGCTTCAATCCCCAATTTGCCATGCTGGCCCCACCCCTGGGGTGCGCTGACATGGCAAATGAGACTCGGCATGGTGGCGTGTGCCTGTAATCCCAGCACTTGGGAGGCTGAAAACAGGAGAATCACTATGGGTCCAATCTTCATAATGAGGCCCTGTAGACCCTGTCCTAAATACAGAAAAAACAACAACAACAACAACAACAACAAAACAAATAAACAAAAGAATAAAACTCAACATCTATAAGAAAATTGATTTGTATGTATAAAAATAATAAACCTTGGGAATATATAATTTTATGAGCTATACATTTTGACACTGTGAGCCAATAGTGGCTGCATACGTTACTTAAATTCTACTACAAGTGGGCCAGGGAGATAGCTCAGTAGAATAAGCACTTGCCTGGCAAGTGCAACGGCCTGAGTTCAATCCCTGGTTCCACAAAAAAAAAAATTCTACTACAAGGGTTAGGGAGATGGCTCAGTAGAATAAGCACTTCCCTGGCAGGTACAAGGGCCTGAATTCAATCCCTCGTTCTGCAAAACATAAATAAATAAAATAAAAATAAAAAATAAATTCTACTACAGCAAAAAGTAGCAAAGAACTCTTTGAATGACCTTGAATTAACTGCTCACCATTCAGCTCTAAATAAAAATACTGTTCCAGCCTGTAAGAAGTATAATGCCAAATCTAAAAGTTGTTCATCAAAGGAAAATCATCACTGGCAAATAGGAAAGTCTTTACTTGTAAAAACTAGGAGGAAATTATTTCAGGGAGACCGAATTCATAGTACTTGAAACAATATGGCTGTATTTAGTATATGCATCCTAGGCACAATATGGTATTTAGCTTCTGGTAAGACTCAGTTTGCTACCCTGCAAGAGCGCCTGCCTAGAAAGTGCAAGGTCTTGTGTTCAATTCCTGGTACCAAAAAAAAAGTGTGCCTAATGTAAGCCCAACCTGGGAGGATTTTTTTGAAGATTAAATAATTTATGTAAAGCACTTAAAACAATGTTCAACCATTTTCTAAGTACTTCCAGTTCCATGTTCTATAACTCCAATAATAATAATTTTAAATTCATAAAAAACAGAAATGACAAAAAACTTCAAATTGATGGACAATTTATATTGTCAAATATTTTTTATATATTTATATTTCTGCATACTCTTTCATTATTCTACACTATAATCATCTGTTTCTGTCTGTGGAGACCAGAGTACACTGGCCAAGCGATGAGCTCAACAGTCTGGCTTTCCCAGTGCATGTTCTGCCATACATCAGTGGGTGACCTCAGGCAAATTACTCTCTGGGAAGGAAGAAACACACTATATCAAACACATATTTCTTCTGATTATCTAAAAGAAGTACTCTCAGTTATGCAATGTTAACATAACTTAAGTTCTGAATATAAAGTAAGTTACATACATCTAGTATGCATCTTGTATAATGAATACACACAATACAAATTTAAAGTAAAATGAATTTATTTCTTCCCCTTCAAATATTCGATACAATGAAGGAGTAAATAAATGAACTGCAGTAATCTTGTAATGTCAACATCAAAAATAGATACTAGGATTATTTTTGGACTATATAATGTCTTCCTCAATAGCCAAGACATTCTAAATTTAATCTAAAAATTAAAGGAATTCAAAAAGTTAAATCCAGTAATTGACATTAAGCAGTAGGAAATAAATCTAAATAGGAGACAATTTAATTTTTTTAATTTTTTAAATAGCATGCATAAAACACTGTGAAAAGTAGTCTTTAGTGGATTATTAATAGAAATATGAATTAAAATATGCAATCAATAATTTCAAATAAAGTTGGGGAGATGGCTCAGTGGAATAAGCACTTCCCTGGCAAGCACCAGGGCCAGAGTTCAATCCTCGGTTCCACCAAAGAAATAATTTCAAATAAAGGTCTGGTAGGGGCACCCTAATTTTAAGAACTTAAGAATTACTTATAATTGCTATCATTAAAGAGCTGCTTAGAGAATAAATGAACGATTCTAATCAGGCCTTTTCTTTACATCCTTTTCTACACAGTGAATAAACCTTATTCTTACCAAAAAAATACAACCTTCTGTCATAAATTGTGAAATACTGAATTACTGCAGTTCTTTTTTATTTTTATTTATTTTTTAATAATTTTATTGAGAAACAAATATCAATGAGACAGTTTCACAACCAATTATGGGCACATTTACAGTAATTAATACATTGTATATTGTTGTCTTAGTGGTTATTCATTATACAAGATGCAGACATGATATCCTGTCTCAAACACTATTATAACAAACCTCTCTATTCACTGAATTAAGAGAGTGGGCTGTATATCTATCCTATTTTGAGTATACAGATACAAAAGGGTTGTTCATGTCTATCCCACTTTTTTGGTTAGTTTTGTCAGAGAAGGGCATTCCATTGTCATTTAGATAATGTAGGTAACTGAATTCATCAGAATCTCCCAATAGAGTCAGTAGTCCATAACAGTAGTGGATTTTCCGTAAGACTGACAATGTCCAAAGTTGTTGACTTGAGCCTTTTACAGCTCAGCATATTAATGTGGTTTTACTTTTTATACTTCATTTTCATACTTTTCTGCTGGATGGTTAAGACCAAGATAAAGTAAAACTGATATAACAAGAAATGTAACTTTTGTACCTGATAAGGTCAGTCAAATGCCCTCAGGAATTAACCTGAAACCCTATACTGCAGTTTGTAGATCCTTTGTGAGTGTCAGCCATGTGGATGAATCATAGCCATTGCTTGAACAATTTGCTCTCTGTGAAAGCCTGAGAGAATGTTCTCTTCATGTGACTCTCCTTAGGCACACTCTACATCATCGATTACATTCCTCTGTGGCAACATAATATCCTTGATCAGAAAATCTGGGACACTACTGAGTTACATAATGTTACAGTACAGGTTCTCCTAGATCCTGAGTCTTCACTGACCTTGGAAGGCTAGGGCCAAAGTGTTGGCTGTCCTTGCAGCCCTTCTTTTTCTCTGATTTTTGGTCTGCAAACTTAGGTTGTTAACCTTCCAGAAGAGAAGCTTATTATTGTCCTACAACATATGCAGTTGGGTTTAACCTAACTATCTGTCTGAATATCAAACATCTTAGGCATAACATGGAACCAGCATTTTCCATCAAGTATTGATATGTTAAACTTTAAGTCCCTGTACAGTATGAAGACAAAAATTTTAAAAATGAAAAAAATTTGAAAAAATATGAATAAACAATTACATATTTTACCAGAAATTAAGAAATCTAACCATACACAGCATTGTAGCATGACTATCCTGTGCCATTTTTTCCTATCTCTTGTTTTCATTTATTGCCCCCCTTTTTTTTAAAAACAAACATTTACTTGAGAGACAGTATGGCAGTAATTAGTATGCCATGAAAAGCAGTATGCATTTAGAAGACCAGAACGGCAGGCATTCCGAGCATGACCCTACCATTACACATTGCTATCTTCAGTGCAGCTGCTTAGTTCACACTTATCAGTATATATAGTTAGTCAGGGTGAGAATCCTACTAATTAACTACTAGTTTCAAAAACATGCTGTAGATTCTCAGGATCCTTACCTTACCCATCTTGTGCATATAAATGTATGGCTTTGCCCCTGTCATGTTTCCCAGCTTTTCTCCTTGCCCTCTTCTGATTGTCCAATCCTCAAGTTCTCACTTTCCTTTTAACAGCTAACATAATTCTAAATGGGGAAAAACTGAAATCTTTTACTCTTAGATCTGGTACAAGATAAGGATGTCCTTTATCACCCCTTCTATTTAATACAGTTCTGGAAACATTAACTAGAGCCATTAGACAAGAGAGATAAATAAAAGAAATAAGGATAGGTAAAGAAGAAGTTAAATTATCATTATTTGCAGATGACATGATACTTTACTTGGAAGACCAAAAAAACTCCACCAAGAAGCTACTAGAATTAATACAGAAATTCAGTAGCATAGCAGGATACAAAGTCAATACCCAAAAGTCAACAGCATTCCTCTACACAGATAACAAACACACTGAGAGGGAAATTATAGAAACAATACCTTTTACAATAGCACTGAGGAAAATGAAATACCTTGGAATTCATCTAACTAGAGAAGTTAAAGATCTTTTCAAGGAAAATTACAGTACTCTGAAAAAAGAGATCATAGAGGATTTCAGAAAATGGAAAGATATTCCATGCTCCTGGATAGGAAAAACCAACGTTGTGAAAATGGCCATACTCTCAAAATTGCTGTACAGATTTAATGCAATCCCTATCAAACTATCACCCACATACCTCACAGACCTAGAGAAATCATTCCTAAAACTTATTTGGAACCAGAAAAGACCTAGAATGGCAAATTATTGCAATTCTAGACAACGAAGACAAGGCAGGAGGCATTATAATTCCTGACTTGAAATTATAATACAAGGCTACTACGATAAAATCAGCATGGCACTGGCAACAAAATAGACCTGAGAATCAATGGAATAGATTAGAAGATGTTGAAGCCCCTATGAACACACTCAGCCACCTTATCTTTGACAAAGAAAGCAAACATACTCACTGGAAGAAAGATAACCTCTTTAACAAATGGTGCTGGAAAAACTGGCTCTCTACAAGCCAAAAACTAAAATTTGATGCAGGTCTATCAACATGCACTAAACTAAAGTCAAAATGGATTAAAGATCTAAACATCAAAACAGAAACACTAAATCTCCTGGAAGAGAAAGTAGGAGGAACTCTTGAAGACACAGAGGTAGGCAAAGACTTCATGAACAAAAATCAAATTGCTACCTGATGGAAGAAGATGAAGATGCTTACAAGAAACAGTTCCCTCAGTACATAAAGAACAATGTAACTCCAGACATGATGGAGGAGATGTATAAGAAAGCTTATGCTGCTATACAAGAGAATCCAGTCTATGCAAAGAAGCCAAAGAGAGAAGTTAAAAAGAAGAGGTGAGATGAAGTAGAGTGTGCCTAAGGAGAGTCACATGGAGAGAAAATACTCTCTCAGACTTTCACAGAGAGCACATTGGCCAAGCAATGACCGTGACTCATCCACATGGCTGACACTGACAAAGGTTCTACAATCTGAGGTACAGGATCTCAGGATAAATCCTGAGGGGATTTCACTGACCTTCTCAGACCCAAAAGCTACAACTTTTGTTGCATAGGTCCTGCTTTACCTTGGTCTTAACCATCCAGTAGAAAAGTATGAAGACGAAATACAGGCAGTAAAGCCATGCTGTTATGTTGAGCTGTGGGGGACTCAGGTCAACAATTTCTGACATTTCCAGTTAAACAGAAGACCCAATGCTATTATGGGCTACTGGACACTTTTAGAATATTTTGCTGAGTTTACACACCTATAATATTCAAATAATGGAACTTAACAAAAAAAGGGTATACAGATGAATGTCCATTTTGTATCTGTGTATTCAAAGTGGTTAGGATAGATATATAGTTACATTATTTTAATGAATAGAATGATTTGTTCTAATGGTGTTTGTAAATAGGATCTCAAGTCCGCATCTCGTACAGCAATTAACCACTAAGAAGAATGTATGCAGTGTGTTAATTATTGAAACTGTCCTACCGATTTAATTTGAAACTGTCTCACTGCTATTTGTTTATCAATAAAATTATGAAAAAAAAAAAAGAAGAGGTGAAACCTTCCCAAAATGTCCCTTGTCCAGAAGAAAGATCGGGTAGCTCAAAAGAAGGTAAGCTTTCTCAGAGCTCAGAAGCATGCTGCTGAGAGCTAAACCAAATTTCTATGAAGATTTTTCAAATAAAGACGAATAAACTTATTCATCAAGGAACTGCTTCTGTGTTAAGCTCTTGTTATAAGAGTCTAGGAAATAAACTGAAGCACAGGAATTAAACAGGTTTCTTTTCTCGAAGAAAAGTAATATTTTTCCAGAGAAAAACATCTTTTGGGGGCCTGGCCCTAGCTCAGTCCTTTAAGTGGCTGCTTCCACAAAGTTGTCAGCCTCAGGTTACTGTAGTTCGATCCCCACAACACTCCAGCCCGCCAAAAGTGCGCTGAAGGCATTTGAGGAGGAAAAAAGAAAAATATCTTTTGTGTTGACTCCAGCAAAGTTCATACTTCTTGGGCTTCTGTTCTCTTTATTATCCCTCAAATATTAAAAGTTTGGCAAGCAACAGAAAAAAAATAAAAATAATAATAATAAAAGTAGAAGATTTTGAGGAGAGCTTAAAAACAAAAAAAAAAGCAAAGGGATTTGAGGAAGCCAAATTCTATCAATGTAATATTTCATAACAATCAATCTGGCAGGAAACGGAGCATAAAAGAAATTTGAGAAATCTTTTAGTTCAAGAAACACTTTTAGTGTTTCTTTGTGGTGAGTTTTCCTCCTAAACAGTAGCACTAAAAGTAGAACGCTTTCATTCATACACTTTACTGATGTCTACTGAAGTCCTCTCATATTCTGGGCACAGAGCTGGCTGAGAACTGGGATTATAATGATGAACAAGGCTCACAGTCCCTTTTCTTGTGGAGCTCACAAGATGAGAAAGGTAGAGAGAAAAGTAACCAAAAACACAAACATGACAAGCCATGATAAGTGCTAAGGAGGAAACAAACAAGGAACATCAGGAGGGCAGGAGGTCCTGAGGAGATGGCAGATATGAGAGCCTACATGGTGCAGAGGAAGAAGAAAGCAAGTATGAGTTTTGGCAAGAGGAAGAGCAGTCACAAAAGCAGGAAAATACTGCATTTCGCTCCTTCTTCTTGTCATTTTGTACAGCACTGTTCTCTGACCTTTGGTGTAGAGCTTTGGTGCAGTTACAACCTTAGCACCTATTGAAATTCTTACCCAAGACATTAATTATAAGATTAAGCCAGTTTTAGTTTTGCATTTACAGAACTACAATTAGGAACACTAATAATAGTAGTTAGATTTCTAAATTTTTGTGTAAAAATTTATAATTGTTTGTCTGGTTTTTTAACTTTTTTTCACATTCTGTATGGATTTAGTTTAGCATATCAACAATTGATGGAAAACACCTGTTCCATGTTATGTTCAATACTCACACAGATACTGATGTTATTAAGCTCAACAGCCTACATTTTAGGGTAATAATATCATTAAGCTTCTCTTCTGGAGGGTTGTGTTTTCAGATCAAAACATTAGAGAAAAAGAACGGTTACAAGGATAGCCAACATTTGGCCCTAGCCCTTCAAGGTCAGGGAGGACTCAGGACATAGAAGAACCTGTACTGTAACATCCTGTAACTCCGTGGTGTTCCAAATTTTCTGATCAAGGAGATTATGGGGACACAGAGGAATGTGATCAACAATGGAGAGTGTGCCTAAGGAGAGTCACATGGAAAGAAAACATTCTCTCAGGCTTTCACAGAGAGCAAATTGGTCAAGCAATGGCCATGACTCATCCACATGGCTGACACTGACAAAAGATCTACAAACTGCTGTACAGAGCTTCAGGGTAAATCCTGAGGGGATTTGAAGACCTCATCAGATACAAAAGTTACATTTCTTGTTATATCGGTCTTGCTTTATCTTGGTCTTAACCATCCAGCAGAAAAGTATAAAAACAAGGTATAAAAAGTAAAGGCAGGGGCCAGGGAGATGGCTCAGTAGAATAAGCACTTCCCTGGTAAGTGCAAGGGCCTGAGTTCAATCCCCGGTTCCGCCAAAAAAATAAAAAATAAAAAGTAAAGCCATATTAATATGCTGAGCTGTAAAAAGCTCAAGTCAAAAACTTCTGACATTGCCAGTCATGCGGATAACCCACTACTATTATAGACTACTAGACTATTTTGGATTACTATGCTGAATTCATGTACCGACAATATATGAAGGTTAATGGAATATCCATCTTTGACAAAACTAAATAAAAAAGGGGGATATAAATGAAGGAACATTTCATAGTAAAAAAAAAATCTGTACATATAAAAGTTAGCATAGATATACAGCTACATTTTAGTTCAATGAGAAGAAAGTTTTGAACTAATAGAGTTTAGACAAGATATCAGGTCTTCATCTTAAACTATGAGTAACTACTACAAAGGTAACAATATGCAATGTATTAATTATTGTAACTGTCCTACTAACCTGTTTTGAAACCATCTCATTGCTACTTCTCTATCAATAAAATTAATATTAAAAAAGTAGGAAAATATTTTGTTCAAGGAACTTACAGGCCCAGTGTAGCTATGGCACAGTAAGGGAAAGGAAGCATGGCATCACATGAAAAAGAAACTGACACAGGATTTAGGTTGGCCTTGTGGGAATTTGGGATGTGAATTTAAGGTAATGGGAAATAACTGCCTGATCTTGATCAGGGAGGTTATATTATATGGTAAAAAACAAAATAGAGGAAAAACTATTAGACTGGTCATAAATTAAATACAAACAACAGAAAATGAACCTGAAATCTGCTTTAACAAGACAAGTAATTTGTGTTTTAAGACTGGAGAACCTACTGTACAATAATCCAATAAACTAATCACAAAAAAAGATTAAAATAATTTCTATTTGAAGTTATGCAATTGTACTGATTAAGCTCATAAAGACATTATAATCTAAAAGTGCTCTAAGTGAGATTAAGTAATTAAAATCAACCAAAGGAAAACACATGTTAAATATTCCTTATTAGGACCAGAAGAAAGTGGAATTTCAGAATATTCACATGCAAATAATGAGATACCTTGAAACCTAAGTCTAAATACAAAATTCATCTTTCATATACTACTTACCCATAGAGACAAAGCATAATTTTATAAAACATTTCTAATATTTGTTTACATTCAAGTTTCACAGTGTAGAATTTTTAACTTTTAGCATCATTTCGGGGGCTCAAAGAATTTCAGATTTTGAAATATTTTGTATTTTCAGATGAGACACTCAACTTGTACCTTTATCTTACTCAAGAAATACAATACAGTCAGTGGAGGTATTTACAACATACATACTTATGAGTAAACCACTGAGATAAACTTCAAAGACAGCAGACTGAATGGTTTTTAACTCTGATTTTGAACAAAATTGCTTAGCTTCTTTGTACTGATTCCTATAAAATAGGACAAACACATAGTCATGAGGATTGAGTGAGTCAGTATGTGTCTAGTACCATGAAGATTATTAGGCGCACAGCAAATGCTCCGTAAGCATTAACTGCTGCTATTAGTATTGTGGTAGATATTCTGCTTAATTCAATTCATATTTCTTGCCATCTCTTTCAAAATCATTCAATTGGTTCTGAATAGTCTAAATAAGTTTCATTCTTATACAGAGACTATCTTAGACCAGGGATGGACAGCGAATATTTTTAGTTTTACTGGACAGACTCTGACCTATCCATTCAGTTCTGTATTTGTAGCTTGAAAGTAGCCACAGACTAGAAACAGATGAGCTTGGCTAATAAAATGTATTAATGGACACTTAAATTTGAACTTCATATTATGTTTATGTGCCATGAAAGTTCGTACTTTGGGGTTTTTTTCAATCATTGAAAAGGTAAAAACTAGGGGGCCTGCCCCTTAGCTCAGCTCTTTAAGTGGCTGCTTCACCAAAGCAGTCAGGCTCAGGTTGCTGTGGTTTGATCCCCACAACTCAAGCCAGCCACACCTGACCTGAAGGCATTCGGAGAAAAAAAAAAAAAAAAAGAAAAGGTAAAAACTGAGGCTGGGAATGTAACTCAATGGTAGAGTATTTGCCTAGTATGTGTGAGGCCCTGGATTTGATCTCCAGACCATTAAAAAATTAAAATTAAAAATAAAAACTAAGGGCTGGCCAAATACCTCAACAGATTAAAGCACCTGCTTAGGCAGACACAGGGGCTGGGAATTTGATCCCCAGGTCTGCCTTGCTGGCCCCGCCCCAGGGGCATGATGAGACAGTGATGGAGCCTGGGTGAAGTGGTACAGCCTGTAATCCCAGCTCTTGGGAGGGTGAACACAGGTGGATCACTAAGAGTCTGATCTGTGTAGTGAGACCCTGTAGGCCTTTACTAAAATACAACAAATACTAATCTTTGCTTATTCACTTCATAAAAACACGTGGCACTTTATAAAAACAGGTGGCCTATATACCTACAAATATAAAGCTCTTTCAGTTATAACATTTCCATAAGCAAAACAAAAGTAAACTGAAATCAGCTCTGCTAACTTCTATACAAAGGGCAACATTTATTCTCGCATATGAAGTAATACCTAACATCTAGGCTCACTATTTCCCCCAAGTTGTTCCAGTTCAACATACTACATAATTAAAAAAAAAAAAAAAGACTGAAACAGTGCAGAAAGCTATGATTTGGTCTGAGGCTATCATGTATTAAGGATTTACTTACACAATTCAAAGCTTACAGAAAATTGTAACAAAATTTCTATTATGTTAACTTTATTTACCAATGTTTACAAGACAACTAGAGCTGTTGCTGGCTTGTCTTGGCACAACAAAAGACGTTTGTTTGTACAGTCTCCTAAATCACTGCCAACATATGAACTTGTCATAAAACAAGACCAACCCAGGCAGGTAGCACAATCTATGATCGCAACACTCTAGGAGGCTGAGGCAGGAGGTTCCATTCCAGCATGAGCTAATCAGCCACTTACTAGGACCCTAATTCAAAGGAAAAAATTAGAAAAGGCTGGAAGGCTTGGAGATTTATTTCCGTGCTAAGGCCTTGGTGAAGCTTATAATGCATTAATACACAATCAATACAAATGCGAACCTCTTACATTATATAAAACAATTTCTTACTTAAGAGTATGGTAACTCTATAACCCAGCGGAAAACGTTTCATGGGGTTTTTCTCTAGTATAAA